ACTCTAAACATCTTTCTTTGATCGGAATGCCAAGATGTACTGTATAGCGCCATTGATGTGCCATTCATCAAAAATAGGGGATGACCAGCTACTGGCTTCACCAGCGCAACGCCATTCGTCGCCACCCCGCCGACACCAGCTCCTTTGAATGGCCCGTTGTCAGGAACATTATCTTGCTGATATCCCTATACGAGATTCGCGTCTAGTTGGCGCGCAAAAGAGAAGTGTGCATCTTACGATAGCGATCGGTCCTTCTCCGTACTGTATCTCCGAGGTGAATTGATAAATCCAATCTGCCTCATAGGCATAGAACAAGGCCTTGTGGGTTATAAATGTAGTGGCAACTTGTTGGCCCACCGGGAGGTCGTCTAGCTCTAGAATCACCTGGCAACTCTTCGCCGCGAATGGTGCACCCTGCTCGACGGCAGGCTCGGCAAAAATTCCCTAATTTCCGGTATCGATAGGAATCGATGCCAGAATCGTACCCGATTTCCCGTACCAAAACACGCCCCGCATCAAAAACACGCGAATTCGCATTTCGCCCCGAACTTTAATAATTAATTACTCCACAACCACTTATCCAAATAAAATAATATTAAATTATAGGGTAGAATCAATTGATATCTTGAGCTTGTGCAATTCAGTTTTTTTATCTAAAGCATTATAGTAGCGTAATTGTACACATACTCGATTTCGCCTATACTACCCCCGATGTGACTACCTTACTGATTTGGGTAATCACCTCCTACTGTACCACTACCTTTACAGGACGTCTAGCCTTACTAGATACTTTCCGCTTAGTTAACACCACTAGAGCAGCTTTTTTTGCCTTTGGAGCAGTAGAAACTAGCTGCTTCTTAGATACTCTCTTGGCGGCCAGCTCTACGTCCCCCGCCAATTGCTTCTGGATAGCCTTAGCCTCCCTATCTGCCGCTCTTTTTGCTTTCTCCTGTTTGTTTCTAAGGGCGTTTGCGGCCCTTTAGATCTTTCTTTCTAATTTAGCTTCTTCCTCTGCAATTCTCAACCTCTCCTTCTCTTCTTGATACTCCCTAGCCTTAACGACCTTCCCAGGAGAGTAGTAATCAATCAAGCCCTTATTTGCCTCGCCAGTAAGATTCAAACGAACGCCCTGTCGACCCTTCTTCTTTTGAAGCTCGATTGCTTTATATAAACCTCGATTTTCGTACTCTAGAACAGAGACTCGTATGGCGAGGTAAAGTATAGTTGAGAAAATCGTCTTGACTTTATTAATTATGGGTTTTTTATCATATACTTAATAAAATCGACGAATCGCTTTCGCAGACCTTGGAGGACGTAATCTAGATAATTTTTCAGGTAATACAAGTATAGAACGAGTAATAGTCTTAATAATAAGACTACTATCGGTTGGCTATATTCCTGATTTGCGAAATGCCGATTAGATATTTTTTTCTGTAAATATCTTATCCCAAGATCTCTTAAACTTTGGCTAAAAGAAGCTTTTAGTTATTATAATACGCCCGCCCGATTCGTTTATTATTATATCTAATTCCCAAGCGTATATAGTTAATAATGGTTGAAAAAGTCTGATATTAAGGGGCTAAAGCCGGTAAGTCGTATATAGAGGTAAAATCAATAAAATAATACCATATTAATTAGTCCAATTAATAAATGCCATATTAACGTAACTTGAATGCCTATCGATAATAAGAAGACGTTTTTGAGTCTTATATAGTGGTTTGGTATATCGTTTAAATACGTTTTAAAGCCAAGATAGCCCAATTATATTATTTGACTATCTATTGGGCGAAACCGTAAAATGGGCCTTTAAATCAGTTATAACTTTATTAACCTATATACTTATAAGATCTCCCGATTCGTCCTTATATATCAAAAGCGGTGGTATCCATTTTCCGATTACAGATATATAAGCTAAGATACTAATGAATTCGCGGTTTCCATCTTGCTTTGACTTGGTAATTTGATCCGATTCCAGAGTAGCTCTGGTTATAATTCTTTTCAAAGATCGCCCATATTCTATTAAGAATCCTTTCTCGTCGAAGTTATATATGTTTTCGGCCGTAATTCGATATTTCTCAATTACTATTGCGAGCTAGTAAAGCAGATATATATTAGTAGATACCCAAATATTACAAATACAAAATAATAATAATAAAGTAATAAACTATACTAAAAAATAATTAGAATATCGGAGCGTACTTAGCGCTAGTACGTAAATTATCGATATTTCGTAAATAAAGGCTCTTTAGCCTAATTAAATAACGCTTTACGAATTAGTCAACCCAGTTCTTTCCTAGCGGCCCTCTCTTGATTTCCTCCGTAAGGTTTCTGATAATATAACTGGTCGGTGGCATTCCTCGATTAGTAAGAGTATTAATTCAATGAATTAAATACTCCTCTTGCTCGATAATTAAATATTGGTACCAAAATGAATTCGCTTCCTTCTTTGACTTCATAAGGCTACGGATTCGTCTGGAGATAGTACTATGATTATACTTGAATTTCCTAGCTATATTGGTATAATGAGTAAACTTCCCTCTTTGAATTGCGGCCACTGCCTGGTTAATATAACTTGATTTAATGAATTTATTATATATTTTGGTCGTAGTATTAGATGTATTTTTAGCGTGTTTTGGTACGGAACGTGTTTTGGTGCGGGAGTTCGGTTAAGGTATTAATAGTATTAATAGTTCTATTCATACTTAGTTAGTATTTGCCCTATTTCAAGGCTTATATAACTAGATTAATAATATAGTCCAGATAGCGAATATACTAGTAATCTGCCTTCTAGTTCAAGCTTAGCTTATCCTTTAGCTTCTTTTGAACTAATTAATAAAGGACATTATTTATTAAGGTATTATTATATATAATAGCTTCAAGCTTATAAGTAATACTATAATCTTAAAGAACTGGCTAAATAATTAATATTTGAGCTTCTGAGCTATAGCCAGGGACCTGCTTTAAAGCAAGAAGGGCCTTTTATTATTTTCTATTATATATAGTAAAATGGCTATAGATTATAAGTAAAAGTAATTAATTTAGAGAGGTCCAGATATCTAGAGAGATATAAATAAGTGAGAGTATAGCCTGAACTACTTATTATATAGTATTCTAGAACCTTTTCCAAGTATCTTTAACTGAGCTAGTAATTTCTGAATGCGAAGTTATAATCTTGCCTTTAATAGCTCGATTAAGTACTTGGCAAAGCATATGGAACTCTGGCTATTTAACGAGAGTATAGGACAGATTCCATATAATAATAAGAGTAATTAGAGCTTTAAGAATAACCGAGATATTAAGGTAAGCTTCCAGGATCTTAGTATTAAGCTCCTCTTACTTACTCGTTCTAATAGCTTGGTAGTAATATTGCCTTAATTACAAATTAACTATTACTTGGTTCTTACTAATAGCTATCTTAATAGGGATCTTGTAAACGCCTTATATATACTTCTTTATATTCTCTAAAAGAGAAGTATAATATGGCTTTCTCGTTTCCTTATTATAATAGATATAATAGAAGTAGGCTTGGTTCTCCTTCTTAGTGGGATTACGTATATACTTCCAGACCGAGGCCCTCAATTTTTGGCTGGAAGGGGCTTCTAGTTCTAGATCTACAAAAGCAGAAGCTAGAGAGGAAGAGTCTAGCTTATACAAAGAAGACATTTTGAGTATATAATCCAAATAGAATAAGAATAAAAGATGTGGGAATAGAGAGAGTGAAAAATTAGAGGGTGCGGGGTAGAAAGCGGTATAGGAATTGATAAGGAATCGATACGTATCGATACTTACTAATACCTTATTAATACCAGTAACTATCGATTCCTTATTGATACCTCAGGTATTTTTGCCGAGCCTACTCGACGGTCACTTCGGGACCAAGGTCCGGGTATTGAATAGCGATAACTGCAGCGTTGGACGGAACTTTAGGCAATACAATAGCGGGAGCTACCTAGTATTCCGAAGAGCAGCCATTGCCGGAGGCGGTTTTGGACTTGATGGAGAGAGCAGCGGCAAAGTCGACGAATAGTGCGATAAAAGCAACGACGATGCCAATAGCGAAAGAAAGCTATACCATTATGGATAGGTTGTGGGAAAAGGTACAGGTATGTATACAGGCAGGACTGGCGAGTATCGAGGACCGGTTGGAGAAAGGGAGAGGGCTAGTCCGTTTTAACCCACAGTGCCAGGCTAATGCCCCTATTCTCGAGCAATACGAACGCCCCCATTGTCCTTGGATTTTTGCGGTTTTAGCCTTATCGCTCCCACTGGCCGGCTATCGACGGTCTAGGACCCAGATCTCATAAGATTGACTCCACTGAAATTTGGACGTAGAAGACCACATAGCCCCGTAACTATATCAGGGGTCTTCGGAGTTGACTTTAGCCTTACACAGGCGCAGCTGTCTTGGCATTATGAGGAACTGTTATTGGTACTGCTTTCTGTAGCCCCTGAGTGTGGCTGCTAATGGCGCCCGGCAAGCCCTAATGTGGCGTCCAATGAACCAGCGCCAGTTGGAAAAGTGCCAGCCTGATAGGATTTTGGAGGTCACTCGAGCACATGTGGCTCAGCTGCAAGGCTGCAACCCCTGAGTTGAAAAGTTCTGGGTTAACTCTTATATTGTGTTACCCCAGGCTTGGCAAGAAACCAAAGTATCAGTTGGTGCCCTCATTGGCCAGAGGCGTGCGCGGGCGAAATTTGTATGTGAGAAAGTGGCCCTAGGGTGACAAGATGTAGGAGTTAAGAAACTGGGAACTTGACCCAATCGATGACTCAATGAACCGTGGACCAATTTCTACACTGGGCATTCTCCGCCTTGGATTCTACGCTGGCTCCTCTCTCCTGAGAGTACTGGGTCCTGGCCCTTTAGCAATCTCATAAAACTAGCCAGGCGTACGCCGGGGCGTCTTCTCACCGGCTCGGATCTACTGATTCTATTCTAAAGACCCTCGGCTGAATTCCATTCCTTCAAGTCAGCCTGCAGAGCCACTGATTCCTGACAGGGAAAGTTTGTGTTACAGTGTTGAATCGTTCGAAGGTTTGTTTCTGGGATATAAAAACTACTATAGCCACCTACGGCTCGCGCGTTCGATCCAGCATTCCTCCAGTTTCAACCTCAAGTACCTATACAGTTATATTCAACTTTTCCAGCCTTCTTTATCTTACAAGATGAGATCCATCCTCGTATCCTTTAGCATTCTCGCTCCTGCTCTGGGTAGCGTCATCTCGACCTGCGTAGCTGACAACTGCGCCGGCGCCGCGACAGGTACTGATAGCACACCCGATGTCACGTCTCGCCTGGCCGACTGCTCCAACTTTATGCAAGCGACAGTGACCCCTCGCGTGAGGTAAGTGGTGTAGTCCATCGCCCACCGACGTGACAGCGCTGTAGCAACGGCCCGCTAATGTTGCCCTGTAGCTACACCACTACTACCTATACCTCGACGGTATTCAACCCTCTGCCGCCTACCCTCCACAATCGCCAGGTCACCGTCTCCCCCACGGCGGCGCCGACGTACGCAAGTGCCTGCTCCAACGCTGCAGCGTACTCCTCAGCTTGCTCCTGCTGGGGTATTCCCCCCCAGCGTAACGACAGCGCCAGCAGCCACTGTGACAGTACAAGTAATCAAGTACATCAACCCGGATGCCGACGCTGGCTATGTCTGCAGCCACCCGGGCTCGTGTGGCAATTTCGACACGTACGACTGCCCCGGCGTCGAGTCGGGCACCTGCTTGTGCGGCACCACCCTCGACGGCGACGCCTACTGCTTCGCTTTGCCCGTGAAGTCGAACTGCTGGGACTTGCAGGAGTGCTCCGCCGACAGCCCCTGCCTCGACCTCGAGATGCTCTGCGTTGTCAACACGTGCTGTGGTGGCCCTGGGACTGGCCGGTGTCTTGATGCCATGTCGGGTGTTTGCCCCAACCCCGCCGCGGGGTTGCGCCATCGGGCGGCTGGCAAGGCGAGGGGAGGGGACTTGCCGTGCGGTGCATTCAAGAAGTGTTGAGGTTGTGGTTGTGTGGAGGGGAGATCCTTGATGATGTGTGTTTTATAGAGGGTTTTTGTACAGTACACCAATGTCCAGCAAGAGATGGGTCTAAGATGATATATGTCTGGTACATATATCAGATCGGTAATTTCCACATTCCTCCAACTTCAATGCTTGATCGTTGATAAAAGTCGTTCTAACGGCCATCCCTCCAAAGGATCACTCTCCTCGTAAGAAAATTTAACATCAAGGACCTCTGGAGATTTACCGTTGTGGTAGATCCAACTCAGAGCTTCATCAAGCACGAGACGTACCCGAATGGAGCGGGCACCAGGGAAAGAGGATATCCAGATCATCTCTCGGACTTCGAAAGGGAGCCCCGGGAACAGTTAAAAATGCCGCAAATCAGCCATCTCGAATTCGTACTCGCTCGTATACTTTGTCAAGTCGAGTTGCGGAAGGCGAGCGTTGGGGAGGTAAAAAAGGTGCGGGCGGAGAGCAGGTCGACGTTATCGACTGCGGGGCAAGCCGCGTCTTACGAGGAAAGGTCAAGCGGCCGCTAAAGCCATACTGCGCCTCAACAACCAGCCTCCATGCAAAACTTCTGCTGCTCTGAGCTCGCCTAGGAGAGGGTAACGAGGTAAGGACTAGGCTCCTTACAGAAACCAAGTAGTGTGCACAAACCAAGTGGTGTACAAACCCAAGTTCTGTAGATTAGCGAGCTGGGCCGTCAGGCTGATACGTTTTCGAGAAGGCTTTTTTGTTGCGATGTGCAACAAAGAGAAAGCTGGGACATTTTAAGCTTGGGCTAATTTACATCTGGAACGGGTGAACCAGCACGTATACTTGGTAGGAATCTGGGGTTCCCAGGGTCGTAGGAAGGGTGCCCTAGCCTAGATTCCGCCCTTGGGATAGTGCCTCCTGGCTAGCCGATTTGGACGCCTTGTGATTAAGCCTGAGATTAAGCCTGACCTGGCTCACGACATGCAACTCCACAGAGCTGAAAGTTTCGAAATCAATTCCTTATGCCTCAGAGATTCTTGTCCATGGAGGTGTTAGCGGGACGGACTTCGAATCTGCAACCCTACCCAAGCCTACACGCCAACTCTCGATCGCTCACTACCGCAAATTAGAAGTCCTACAGCTGCACCGGACCTCGAATCCCGAATCTCAGATATCTGGAATCCAATTACCAACATGGTTTGATGCGGAAGACATGGTTGGGTGCGGAAGACATGGTTTAACGCGGAAGAACGGTTGATGCGGAAGAATGGTTTGTGAGGAACGTCCAAAATTGCTGGACTGGCCGACAGAAGGATGAGGTCCTCATCAGATATTCGTCCCAGCAGATGCCCAGGGGCAAGTAGGCACATAGAGCTTGAGCTGCCGCCTGTCCACCTGCGTGAGGAAGCCTACTCACCTCTGCGCTGCACCATGGTCCAGCGCGTGCGTACTGCGGCATCAGTCCTGCTGCCTTCGAACTTTTTGAAGATCCACTTCCAAGGCTTGCCCTCCTTCTTCCATGCCACCAAGCACTGCTCGTCTACAGGATCCCATGGGATATTCACCCGCATATTCAAACCCTGGTTATCTTTACTCAAACACCCGTCATTATCGCTGCTGATATCAGGATCGCTGTTACTCAAATCACTACCGTCATCGCTGCTGGACGGCTTACTCCCCTGTAACGCAAGAGGTTGGGTATATATAGCTTTACTATATTGGGATCGGGAACGTATTGCATTCTTATAAGTACGGCCTGCCTTTGCGGTAGTCGATATAGCCTTGCCACTAAACGAGAGCCGGAATGGGATATACTGGCTGAAGCTAGTAATAAGGATAGAATATTACTCTATTAGCTTAATAGTAAAGTCGTTAATCTTCTCTATATGGCCGATACTTGTAATAAGTCGGCTAAGCTGGCCGAAAGAGACTTCTTGCTTGGTATTAATTACTACTATAAAGGAGTAGTAATCTGCAGAGTATAGACGGAATATAGCCTCGGCTAGTATTAGCAGAATGGCTCTAGATAATCGGTTAAGGTTACTATAGTCGGGCGGTATATCTATATCCGTAGTATATAATATAGAAGGTTAAGCCTGAAGACTAGGAACTATAGTAACTCTCGAAGCCTAATTAGGTAGGGAGTATGACTTGGGAGACTGCCTATAAGGCTTGAAGTATAATCTCTATTAGCCGGTAGATCTCTATTATAGATAGTATTTAAGCTTCTTATATATTAGGCTATCTTGAGATAAGAATAGCCGTTTCTGCTTTATATAATATGGTTTCTTATTATTCTTATCCGACTCAGTATTATTAAGCTTAATATTACTATTACTATTATATCTTGCCTTATTATAACTTGGCTCTAGTAGTAAATAAAGGTTAGGAAGTAATTGCCGTCTATTGGCTAGTCTTGAACTTCTACTAGCCCTCTTAGCCATTACTACTACTATTATAATATTTACCTCTTACTATATCCCGATATTCTTATTAATCTTCTACTTTATTTCTTGCTACTTTCTTGCCCTCTTATAAATAAAGAGACCATCGAGCATATAATTAACTAGCTTGTATTTGTCTATTATACTTTAACCAGTATAAAAACAACTCTCTTAACTAAGCTGGGTCTCTGGTAATACTCTATAGTAATATAGAGGCAGGCTCGAAAAGGGGCTTATAGCCTTGGAATTTGTACTAATACTATTATATAATGGCTTACTCGAGAGGTATAAAAAAGAGGTATGAAATAGAGAGTCTGGTATTAAAGCTTTTTATTTTGCAAGCCGCAAGTGTAGTACCGGCTCAGGGAAGTTATTAATATTATACTATCTATTAGAACTATAAGGAGGGGCCGGAGTTATTAAGTTAATAGCTGCCTCTAGGCTATTGAAAATTCTAGTACCTAGTACTATTATACTTTTAGTATAAAGACTATTATTATTAATATTAGTTTCGGAAATACTCGAGTTACTATTTTCTTATAAGATAATTAGATCTTTTATACTATATTAAAAAACCAGTTATTTATTTTATAATAATATAATAGATATATTTATCTAAACTCTTATTTGAGTTATTACCTAATACTAATTTATTATTATTAAAAAAGCCGCTTCTTTCTTTTATTATTATATTACTAATTTCGAAGGCTATATTATCCGGATATTAATTCTTTATTATAAAGCCCTCTATTTATAATATAATATATAAGATGTTTTTAATAATAGAAAGATTATTATTATTATTACTATTATTATAAATAATACTCGTTTTTATTTAGATTTCTATAAGTTAATTATTATTACTAGAAAATAAATATATCTTAATCTTAAAATATATTTCGAATTTCAGGCTTATTACCTCTATTATTAGCTACTATTACTATTATTATTATTATTATTACTAGTAGTAGTATATTAAATATATATTATTCGGTTTAATATATTAGAGCTTATTAAAGATATTAATTTATTTTAGGGCCTTTTTATAGTAAATTATTATACTTTTGAAATATAAAGAAATTAGCTTATAAATATATTCTAATTTAATAAAAATAGCTATTTTAAATAATTAGAAATAATTAGAAGTATTCGAGAAGTTCTTAGCTAGCTATTAATTATATAACTAGACTATAAAATAATAGTAAAAATAAGGAAATTAAAGAATTTATATAGATTTCTTATATTATTCTTATATAACTAGAATATATTTTATAGCTTATATTATATTATATTTTTTTTCTAATATTATTTCTATAAAAAAAGCCTTATTATTAATATTATTTCTCTTATATAAAAAGATCTATTATAATTATAAAGCTCTATTATTATTAATTTTATACTTTTATATTAAAATATATTTATTTATAATTATTATTTCTATTATATTATATATTTTAATTAACTAATCTTAGTATTATCTCTTAATTATTAATAAGGCTATAAAAAGCTAAATAGAAAAAAGTAATAATTATTATATAAAAAAAGAATTTATAACTTTAAATATTACTTATTTATTTATTTAAAGGCTTTAGGTAAACTAGTAAATTAGTATATTCTAGATCTTTTCTATTATTTAATATTTTAACTACTAATTCTATAGCTAATATAGTTTAATTAGTAGATTTCTTTAAGAAATATATATAATAAATTCTTATATAAATTCTACTGTTTTAAATTAGCTCTAAATTATATAATTAAAACAAATATAATATATATTATAATAAGAAAGAAAGTTATTAGAATACTTCTAATATATTATTTACTTATAGTATCTAAAATATAGCTAGATAAAAAACAGATTATATTATTTTAAGATATTTCTATAACTAGCTATTATATTATAATAAAAATATATATTATTTATAATATTCCAATTTCCGGAATATATTATAATAAAAGGAAATAATAATATAATAATAAAGCAGATTATAAGAAATCTAAATACTATTAAGCTTGTAATTTAGTTAATATAAAGCGGATATATAAGGGGATTTATATTATAGCTATTTAGTAATATTAAGGCTAGAGGAGGCAATTACGAATTCTAGTTAAAGCTATTTTATATATTACTAGTATAGTCTTTTTAGTTATAATATAGCTAATTAGAGGAGTCTAGTAAAAATAAATAAGATTCTAGATAGAAGGGCCGAATATATATAAAGAATAAATACCGAGTATTATAAGGTAAAGGTTATTAGGTTTATTAAAAAAATAAAAAAAAGGAAAAGAAGTAAGTAATAGAAGTTACGAGATTTTTATATTCTATAAAAGTAATAGCTAGCTCTAGCCTATATATATATTTTATCTAATATAGGAATTATAATTTCTATATATATAGACTTATTATCTAGTTATTTATTATTATTATTTTCTTTTTAATAATAGCTTATAATATAATTTAGCTATTTGTAATTATTATAATTATTATTTTATATATTTATAATTCGAATATATTAAAAGAAAATAATATTATTAAATTTTATATAATATAAGAAATAGCTATTATATTAATTTCTTTTTATTAAATAAGAAAAGTATTAATATAGAACTATTATTATATAAGGATTTAATTAATTATAATATAATTTAAATTAATAATTATATTTTAATTAGAAAAAATAAAGATTTATTATTATTAATTATTATAATATTATATAATAAAAAATAAAGTATTATATTAAAGAAAGTAAATTATTAGTTTATAATATCTACTATTTATTAGTCTTAAAAAAGACTAATTTATATTAAAATTAGAAATATTACTAGTATTAAAAATAATAAAAGAAATAAACTTTTAAAAATATTAGTTATTATATAAT